AATACAGAATTTTTTCTTCAGTTTTGTTTGACTTCTGAAGAAACTACACAGACTTGTGCAATATCATCATACTCATACGTTCTCTTCAAAAACGTGTCTGTAAGTCTTAAGCCAGAGACACTCTAGAAAAGGAAAATATTTATAAGAGTTATTAGAAATAATTACTAAACTTATAAAACAGCTCTTTTATAACAAAACTGTGCTATAAAGACTTACTTGCAATCCCTGCACTGAAGACAGCAATGTAAGTGCAAGATGGAGTGATGAACTTGGGTGCAGCTTTCCAAGTTGCCTTCCTGAAACTCCACACCAGTGGATGGAATTAGTATTGCACATTTCTAAAACCAGGTCCATAGTCCTTTCACTGCTAGAAGAAATAGAAAAACAATAATAAACCTGTGGGCTTTTTCTCAGCACTCAAGGACTGCAGACATGTAAAAGCTTGATTACTTTATTATCCAGGTTATTATTAATCAAACATTTATAAATACTTGTAAGGTAGCAAGCAAGATGCACTGTGATGCACAGTTGCATGTGGCTTTTTCCAACATGAGCAGTCTGTCATGCGTTTAGCAATACTGGATAGCATTAACAGTGCTCACATTTTGGATGGAGTACAAGATTTTCATGAGAACGATCTGCAGACTAGATACATGCTTCAGTCCCTAGCTTCAACTTGTATTTAGAATTACTTTATTTAAATGTCACACTCACAACCCTTTTATAAAGGGCTAACGTAGATCCTAGTGTAAACACAAATCAAATCAAAACATGGATGAAGACATACAAAAGTCTACAGTGACAGAAAAATCAGCAGGCATTCTAGCAAGGGTGCAGAACTAGTGGTAAAATCAGACTGAACAGAAATGGCATCATTTATTCTGTTAAAATTACTTGTAGTTAAAAAAAACCTATTAGATAAACTAAGAACAACTAAGATGATTTGTGATTTAAGTATGACGTTCAATCTTAAATGATATTGCAGCCAGTTCCATGGAATTCCACTATAGATTTTTGGTAATCTCTTAGTTCAAACACAATCATCAGGAACAGTTTGGGTTGGAAGGGACCTTAAAGCCCATCCAGTTCCAACCCCTCCACTAGACCAGGTTGCCCAAAGCCTCATCCAACCTGGCCTTGAACACTTCCCAGGGACGGGCGTCCCTGCTCCAGGGACGGGCAACCACAGCTTCTCTGGGAAACCTGTTTCACTGCCACACCACCCCCACAGTAAAGAAGTTCTTCTTTTTTGTTGTAGGCTCCCTTTAGGTACTGTGAGGCTGCTATAGTACTAACAGATCATGATGGAAGGGTCTTTTATGCTTCCTTGGGTTTTTTAAAATCATTGTAACCCAAAAGATGTGTTTCAAGTAGCAGACCAGTAGTTTTCTGTTGCTACAAGTCATAGTAAAGACCACGTTTGAGTTGTTTCACGAGAACGTATTGAAAAATGAAACAAAGACAGCCACAACTTACCCACTCAGGAAAAAGCACAAGAATCACATGACATCATTACCTGCAATTTGTTATTTTACATGTAATGTCAAAAGGTTCTTCCAAATTTACAGTGTCTGGTATTGTTTCCAAAGACAGCCTTACATCGCCATAACCAGGAGCCTGGGAAGACACAAGAATACATATTCTCAGATGCTGTATAGTAAAGCTGAAGTTCTTACTACTCAAGTTTTCATTTACTGCAACAAACTCAGAATAAGGAGAATCTGAAGAAAGAAGATTGACTTTTTGTGCTTTTCATTTGTACCCAAATCACAGCAGTGCTCTATCCACTACCGATGACTGGCTTCCTGATAGGTTTAACAATTCATTAGACAAGGATGATCTTTATTACTAAGCCTTTCAGACAGTTCACATCCTTAAAGTTTGAATACCCATATACAGTTCCTGAAAAGATCAGCTTTATTCTAAGACCTCTCTGTTAGGCAAGTAACAGATATACTATGGACAACTTAAGTATAGTTTTCCTGCATAAACCCACCACTATTCCACATCCTAAGAAATAAGAGATTGTTCATTCTTGCCATTTCAGTCCTCCAAATCTTTGCGAAAATAATTAATTGCCACCAGTAGAAAGGCACATGATATGAACACTATCCAATTCTGTCAAAAGCTGAACACATTTCATATAGTCTGCTTACAAACCTATGATAAATATCCTAGTTACTACCAACCACAGCAGACTCAAGATAGTAGCCTGCAGATAAAAAGCTTTAAATTTTCAATCCCCACAAATGACAGATAGTAAGGAAAAGACAAGGGAAAAAATTGTCATGTCTGACAAGGCTTAGTTGTGATAATTAGTGTGTTACAATTCTGGTGATAGAAGGATGCTGTAGTAAAAGTTACATTTACAATGTGATTAAAAGATATTCCCGAAGAGGTTCAGAAAGCCAGTGACTGACGGGTTGGGAACAGGTTTTAGTCATACACAGTTCATTACAGACAGAAGAAAGATTATATTTGAGAAAGCATATTAAATTGAACATTAGAGTGAACAAAAGGATGTCAAGCCAATAGAGATTTCAGACAAGTTGAACAACGTAAGTTTGGAAACTTTCAAGAAAGAGAAGTAATTATCCAGCACTGGAAAAAGTATACCGATTTTCCTAAATAGACATTTGACTCTTCTTTTAAAAGAGATAATATTAAGACAAAAAACCAACAATAAAAGCAGTATTTTATAGAATAAACTTAGCAGCAATTAACTACATCAAGACAGGATGAGAGCAGATGAGAAGGCCTAAACCAGCACATACCTGTTGGCCTTAATGAGATACCTGCATAACTGATAGCTAGAGGTAAAGGCCTTAGAGTAACACCAAAAGGAGGAACATAGTTGTCATCCAAAAACAAGATAATTGTTCAGAGTAGGGAATCAACTAGACAACTCCTTGCTTGTGCTACTCAATAATGTTCTTCAACTTTGGACTGGTTCTAGTCTAGTCCTGGATTGAATGCCTGTGAGCAGGTAGGGCACCCTTGGCATACTGTGGACATGCATCTGTCTGGCTTAATGTCACCCAAAAATAACTGAGCTGTGAATTCCAAGACCACTCCACAAAAAAAACCCCAAAAAACAACACCCAAATTATGGTATGTGGGTGTAATCTAGCATACTCGTTTCAAAAATGCATTCCTGATCCAAACCAAAGCAATGGCAGAGAGGCACGGTACAAGTAAAATTCTGGGCCTGTTGGGGAAACAACGGTTATAGTGCTAGTAAATGGATTAGGAGGAAAATCATGGAAGGTAAAAGGACCCTAGAAATGAAATAATCTGATAGCACTTAAAAGATGAGGGAAGACGCAAGGGAGTTGCACTGCAACTGAAAAGGATAAACAAAATAAAACCAAAACCTGTTTGCTGCTTTTCCAAAGACAGATGTTGCTCAAAGTACACAGAATAGCTCATGGTCCTCTGTTAATCACTAGCACAAAACAATGATGGCTGACTAAAGCTAATCTTGGAGTGTGGAGGTCTTACGCTAATCACCACTGTTTTCAGTCTCAAAGGTTCAACAAGAAGGGATGCAGAGTGAGAGAATACTGATTTAAGAAGGGGAAAAAAAAATCTGTCTTTAAAAAGAAATGACAGAAAAGGTCAGCTGAAAATGTGACAGTTTATTAGTTGAAAAACAAACAACAAATTTCAAACTAACAAGAGTAACTTAAGTTTAGAAAAAAAGGGCAGTTTCTAATTTGATAGGGTTACACAGATACTTAACACCTCAATTAAAAACAAAGAGAAGTTTTAGTGACTTCCCTGTGGATTACCAGGATTCAAGTTTGCTTGCCTAGTTCCAAGTCAATGTGATTTCCCTACAGAATTGCTCAATTTACTAGAAGATGGGGGCGGTGGGAAGACACAGAGGCAGAAACCCCAATACAAGCTTTGTAAACTCAGGCTAAGATTCAATTGTCAAAGCTTTTTTACTTCTCGCCCATATTACATCATCCTCAATTCAAAAGATGCAAGTCAGGTTTAGGCATTAGAGGACAGAGGCTGTGCAGCTGACTTAAGTAATTACAATTTAAAATTCATGAACAATTAATAAATCAACCAGAATAGAATAGATTCAATCAAAACTGTGAACACAAAAGATAAATAGTATTATCCTATACATAAAAACTGTTACTCAAAGAGGCTAAAATGTCTGTATGAATTAGGGAGCAGACTTTATGTCAACAGCTAGCATACATAAAGTTGTTCTTTTGTCAGTGCTTTTCAGTTTGCGTCCAAATGGCACCCAAGAAGTTAATTTTATTCTAACCAATGTATTTTGCTACGCAGGTTACTTGATTCTGGCAATTCAAATGCACAATCCATTAAGTTATGTTGTTCAGTGATGTGAAAAAAGAAAGAGGCATGTTATGTGCCAGAAAACAAATCCTCTAGAAAACAAAAAATGTTGCCATTCACATGACCAAAAGGAACAAGAAGACTTTTGTTCAGCTACAGTCCCTCAGAATATTGGTTTTTTCCACACTTCACTGACCAAATGTATTAAATAACTTTCTCAAGTATGTATAGAAATATGTGAATTCAGAATGATGTCCAGAAAGTAAGCAGCTTGAACTTTTCCTTCAAGTCATTATTAAATTGTTTATTGACTTACCTTACAAATGGATGCTAAGTTAAACTGATACTTAAGTTAAACTTACCATTCTTTGTAGCTGGCTAGTTTGCAGTCTTCCTCGTTCACCCAGGTTAGTTTTCCACACAATATCTAGTTTACCAATCACTGTTACACCTTTTATTACTCCAGCTTTCTCTGCAAATTCTTGCTTTGGTTTTAAGCAGTATAAGTATTGACGTGTATCCATAGGTTGTAAATAAGTCCTTGAGCCAAAAGTAGACTCACTAAAAGAAAAAAACCCAACATTGGTGCTTAATTTAAACAGTCATTTTTAGGAAGACTTAAGAACCAAAGCTTTTTCCCATTCCTCACCAGTCTTACTGGATATTTTATTCATGGCAAAACACAGACTATTTTTGTGTTTTCACAGCAGAAAACAATTCTATAATTTATGTAGCATCAAGGACTAAGAGGGGGAAAAAAACAATTCATCTGGGCCAGAGAGAACTGAGGTGAAAATGTGCTTTGCTACATTATAATTCATTATCTAGCATCTTAGTATTTAAAGAACAATGCTTGTAACTTTACTTCTTCCCAGTTGTCTTGGGTTTGGCTGGGATAGAGTTAATTTTCACAACAAGCTGTGACTGCACACAGCCAGGACAGCTGACCCAAACTAGCCAAAGGGGTATTCCATACCATATGACATCATGCTTAGCATAAAAGGGGGCCAGTCAGGGAGGGGTGATGTGGCTCTGGGATGGTCTGAGTGTACAGTCATATGGAGTGAGAAACTGCATAGTGTATCACACATTCTGTACATTCTAAGTACTTTTGTTCTTATTTTCCTCTCCCTTTGCTGTCTCAGTAACCTGTACTTATCCCAACCCACCAGTTTTACTTTTTTCTTCCAATTCTCCTCCCCATCCCCTTGAGGGGGCAGTGTGAGCAAGTGGCTGCATGGTGCTCAGCTACTGGCTGGGGCTTAACCACAACAGTCCTTTTTGGCACCCAGTGTGGGACAAGAAGGGTTGAAATAGCAACAGATCTGACCAGATCATGTTAAAACAAAGTTGTTATAAATATAACACTATTTAAACAATTGCTGGTCACAATGGTGTTTTGTTTGTCACATAGCTGTGGTATGCAAGCCTGTACTTGCTGTATGTATTCCCTGCGGTGCTGCTTATCACCTCTGGGAGAGGGGTCCAGATTCTCATTTTGCTGTACCGTGTGGTATCGACTTATGATAACATCACTGGTCATGAGGTTAAGCTGGTATTTGTATGTGGCATTGCTGTCACGTCCATACCTCAGACAATATGTCTCAGAATTGATTAATCATCACACCCAATCTATACGGAAGGCTGTGTGCGTATACTTTCTCCTGCTCTTTCACCTCCCCTTTTTCTTCAGGCTGGTCACAGCAGCTTTTGAAGATTTTGAATATCCTTGTGATGTTCAAACCAGCATGCTCCTATTGCTATTATCTCCTGAAAGTTTTTCCAGTCTTGTTTAGGGTTACAAAAATTTTTTTTAAGAATACCACCCAGAGATCTGCCCTGAGGCTGGATAGTCATGCGTGGCATGGCATGTGGGAGAGTATGGGCAGGTATCCAGAGAACAACTCACTTCCAATGGTTTGGAACGTCACTCCTGAACAACTACAGGACCCTGATAAAGTGACAGAATATTTGGAAGGAAAATGCTGTGGCTATTCCAAAGAGGCACAACTTACCTCAATGTGCTGGGCCCTGGCCAGCATCTACCAAACGCTGCTTGACAGTACGCAGCACCCTCAGGGAGAAGAGAGGGAAAACAGACTGACAGGCACTGTGGCTGAACCAAAAAAACCAACCTGTGCTGGTATCAGTTGCCCCCATACACAAGAAGAAATACACAAAAAAATCAGTTTGCTTAGTAAGGATGACCATGAACTGGGACAATCATGAGAACAGGAGGAAGAGGCAGAACCAGAGGTAATCACCTGATCCCTGTACCTGACTGAGCTGCGAGATATACGGAAGAACTTCAGCCAGTGAGCTGTGAGGTATGCAAAAAGGTATCAGCCACCATCCAGGTAAGCACATCATTAAGTGGCTGCTCCAATGCTGGGATAACAGGGCCAGTAGCCTGGAATTAGAGGGCAGGGAAGCCAAGCAGCTGGGATCCCTGTATGGGGAATGGGACATTGACAAGGTGATTGGGAAAAAGACACAAGCCCCCAGCCTCTGCAGGTGACCTCTGTCAGGTGTGAGGGAAAGATATCCCTTCAGTGAAGATGTTGCATGTCATCCAGGGAAGTAGACCACCATGGAGAGAGGTATCCAGTACCTGAGGGAATCAGCTGTCCAGGAGATGGTTTATTATGACCCGGACAACACGCAGCTACCCACAGAGTCTGAGGAAGTCCAATGTACCGGATCCATGTGGTGGAAGTTTGTACAGAGCGCACCATCATCATACGCCAACTCACTGGCAGTAATGGACCGGAAAGGCAAAGAGGCACCAATGGTGGATGAAGTGGCTGGCAATACAAAAAAAGTCTCTCTTCCTCCCTTATCTCAGCTGTGGAGAAACTGCCCCAGGAGTCCCAGCAATTCAGAGAGGATATGTCCTACTCCCTGCCTGTATGGACCAGTATCTCAGCTCTTGACCAGTATCTCTGCTCGAGAGAGACATAGAGGGTACACACCATGAGGCACTGTGTGGTGATCACGTGACGATGGAAAGGAAATGAAGTGGGATGGAAAACATACCTCAGCCCTACAGGCACAAGTATGTGATCTGCAAGGCAAAACAATCATAAAAGGGGATTGCAGAAACTGCTGAAGGAGAAGGTGAATTCAACCAGTTTGTAGAACCGAAAGCCATCCAGCTGGCTTTAGACATTGCTGATTGAGAAACATGGCTGATGTTCTACATCTATACTGACTCATGGATGGTGACAAATGCCCTGTGGGGTGGTTACAGCAATGGAAGCAGAGCAACTGGCTCAGGGCTGCTCCATTGGGGCAAGATATTGCTGCCCAGCCAGAGAAGCTGGTTGTAAAAGTA